AGCAGGAATTCTTACCTGTGCTTCAGCCCAGCATACAGACTGCTGACAGGTACCAAGTGGCGACAACACCCGGTCATAGTGTGCCGTCTGTCCACATGTTTCGCTGCCCATGGTTTTCAGCTTTGTTCCTCAGTGCTCTTCATGCTTTATTTATTTATTTTTAATTTGTTCCGCATTCCTTGGCAAACCATCTGGTTGTAATGATGTAACATTCCTTATTTTTTTCCATAAGTTGCCAGTGTGTTTGTGTTCAATTTAAAAATCATTATGGATCTGGATAAAAATGAAACGGATGGAAGTCATGTAAAACTGTTCAGCGAAGGGCACGTCGGATTAGGTGCCGAACTCTGGCTCTTCGGATCCGACAGGAGGCTTTTGGTCACAGGCATGTAAGGATGCCAGCGTGCATGCACGAGTTGTCCCTGGGCTCTGTGTGCGGGGCCAGTTCTAGCTGGGCCTCCGCACCGTGCCTTTTCCTGCCCTACGCTCCCTTTATTCCAGGCCGTACCTTTCTGAATTGAAAATACTGATGGGCCAAAATATCACATTTATTACCTGGTTTCCTAAACCACAAAAGCTAACCAATTCTCTTCTCCATCCAAACTTACCATGGGGTAGAAGCCCTGCTAGACTTTCAATCGAGGGACCCACTTGTGGCCTGGGGGGGGAGGGGTTAGGTGAGCTGGAGCCCACATGGCCAACCACACATTTCAAGCCCCAGACCCAGTGGCTTAAAAAACACACTGAGCATGTGTGTACATGCCCGACATCCCAAAAGGAGAAATGGAGGAGAAGGGATTGTGGCGTGACTGTCCCCCGTGGGGGCTGCTTTCTCGCTTTCCTTCTCTCTTTTCTCCCCTGTGCGTGTACATGCCCTCTGTCAGAATTACAGACCCAAAGCGAGAAATCCAGTGGAGTTGTGCCGCTTTGACAGACGCAAGCTAGGGTGGGTAGAGTAGCCGTTGGTGGTGTTCAGAGGTGTTAAGGGGAGCGCTTGCCCTTGAGCTCACTGGCTGCAGGGTCGGCCCCAAGGGGGGACTGCAATCTGGGACCCAGAGGACAGGACCTCGATGCAGTGTATTTGTCAGCCTCTGTCCCCAGGGGACTCCTGGCCTCGAGCTCACTGACCCCGTGTCCTGATTACCGAGCTAACCAGCAAGACCTGACTGCGAGCGCTCACCAGAGCTGCCTGCCTCTCCGCGACCCTGCGGTGGCCACGCAGTCCTCAGCGCCGTGGACAGTGGGGACTGCCCTGCAGTGCCTTCACTCGTCCGGCAAACCCCGATGCGACTCTTGCCGTCCCGTCGCTGTCTGACTCCCGTCTTACCACTTCCTGTGATAACGCCAGTTTTAAAAGCAGGAACACTTGAGACCTCGGCAGCTTTATTTTGCCCAATATGTAAAAACCTAGTGATCCCAACTCCTCATTCCTTTGTCTAAGCTCTAAGGAAAGGCAGGCCGTAGGGAGGGGAGACAGAGGTGGCTTCTCTGTCTAAATCTACCAAATTGCTGGCCTAATACTTAATTAAAATGCCTTCCTCTTACCGGAGCTGACTGGGTTTTGCTAGATTTTCCTTCTCTTCATTTTGTGGTAATTTCCTCTTCTAAAGCACAATTTCTAGGGCTTAGGGAGAGACTTCTGCTTGTCCCCCAGCACTGGCCCAGCTCCGGTCAGCATGGGGGTCCTCGGTGGTTCTGCCTCGCTCTCCTGACCTGTGCCCGATTCTTGCCTCAGGACACCGTCCCCCACTCCAGCCCCCAACTCCCCAAGTTCTCAAACACAAGAGTCTGGATGGGCACAGCATTAGCAGGACAGCCCTGTCCTGGCGCCACAGGGACAGCGATGTGCCTGTGACTCCTGGCAGGTGTGCAGAAGCCTGAGCCTCTGAGCACAGCTGCAGGGACTGATGGGAACTCACTCTGGCCACTGGCTCAGTGGGTCCCCTCCACCTTGCTGCTGCTCTGAAGAGTCTGCGGCCCGGTGGACATGGCACCGTGGGGCAGGGTAGCCGTGACCCATTCAGCCCAAAGTCACTGAGCTGCACAAGGTCTAGAACCCAGGAGCAGAGCAGATGGGATGGTGCCACACCCCCAGACATGGCAGCCCTCTCCCAGGGTGGGGAAGCTGTCGCTGAGCCTGTCTGGGGAGGGGCAGAGGTGGTGGGGGCTGTGGCCTCTCTATCTTTTTGGTTAATGGAATGACTTACTGACTTAGAGCGAGGCAGGCTTACTGCTGACCAGGCACCTAGCCAGCAGTGCTGGAGCTAACCCGCTGTCACCTGCTTCCCTGTCACCAACCTCAGGCACCACACGGTCACGCGCGGCATCACCAAGGGCGTGAAGGAGGACTTCCGCCTGGCCATGGAGCGCCAGGTGTCGCGCTGCGGCGAGAATCTGACGGTGGTGCTGCACCGCTTCTGCGTCAACGAGAAGGTCCTGCTCCTGCAGACGCTGGCCTGACCGGGCCTCCTGCCGGGACGGGGACGCGGGGACCTGTGGAAACCGTCTGAGCTCTGACCCCTTGGTAGCTTCAGAGTGCTTCCCAAGAGACTAAGAAACTGTTTCTATTTTTAAGAGTCATTTTTTGTAATTTTTGTAAAATGTATCAACCGGTTTTGTAAATAAAAATCACCCTAAAACTTAAAAGCTTGTAAAACTTTATTTTCATCCTTATAAGTTTCTGAACAAAGAGGTATTTTTCTTCTACTTTTCTGAGCATAGAACAAAAGGGGAAATCCATCCCAAAGGAGCCGATCAAGATTTTTATTAACGTTGATACTTGAAAGGACAGTGCCTTCCATGGGCCCAAGATTTTATTTCCACGGTTAGGCTTTGGTAAGTATTACATATCCACACGGTATTAGACCTTCTCATTGGGGAAGTTTTTTGTTTTAAGTTGCCAGAGGGTGGGTATACTCGTCATGGAGAGAGACAGAGAGAGGGAGAAGGAAAAGCACCCCCATGGGGCTTGATCATGCCACAGTCCCTTCATTTCTCCATCCTGTCAGGATTCGGGGCACAGACAGACATGGCTCAACGTGTTATCAAGCTGCCAGGGCTAGGATTCAGGCTGTAGTCGGCCATGCAGAATCTGGCTCTTAGTCACCAGGCCACGGGGCCAGTCTCAGAGGTTTTAATGTAAAACTTTATGTGAAAATAAACTTGAGGCTGTCATCTGCCCACTGACAGTCAACTGGAGGAGTGGGGCTCAGGGTTCGGCCGAGATGCCAGGACAGGACAGCAGAGGGTAGAGGCAGAGTCGGCCAGAGGAGCCCCTCATGCCTAGACTCCCAGAAGACCCTGCTGCTGGGCCAGGGCAGCCCCATGCTGGGGCCAGGGTTAGTAGAGCCAGACAGCCTGGCTTGGCTTCAGACTCGGCCCAGCCTCAGGGGTGCAGCACAGCCCCACCTGTGTGGCTCCTGAGTTCGAGGAGCTTTTGTGACTGTGGACAGCTGCTTTCCCTGTGCCTCAAGCTCCTTGCCTGAAAAACAGGGCCCTCCCCTCACTAGGGGCGGCCCAGTTAATGTTACTGCGAGTGGGTGGAAGAATGGCTTCAGTTACTACTGTTACCAAACCAGAAGAAATTCACACCCAGTTCCAGTTTCACACACCGGGAACTTTGGTAAGAGGAAGACTTACTACTACACGGATGGGTAGGGAGGTAAGAAGCTAGAATGAATCTACCTCCCCAAAGTCTTGGACAGGTCCGTACGTAGGAGCTTGTCGTAGAATGGGCAGGTCAGGGACGTTCTGACTGGCCCTTGGGCATGGGCAGGTTGGATTCCAGGTGGGCATGCACGGTGCTGCATGCCCCAGAAAAGGCAGGCTTCACATGACGGCTGGGAGTGGGGTTCTAGGCTTTCACTCTGGGGCACTGCCGAGGTGTGCTGCACGGGCTCAGAACCACCACTCGGATCTCACCGTGCAGCCTCCTGGAACATTCCAGCTCTGCCTCAATACTGGCAACTTGCTTGTGAGTGTGAGTAGGTGGTGTCCCTGTGTTAGTCCGTCACTGTGCTGCTAAACAGAAATACCAGAGACTGGGAGATTTCTGTATAAAGAATAGAGGTTTGGGACCAGCAGATGGCATCATGTTTATGTTGCTGGACTCCCATGAAGTGGACTGTAGTTCCAGTCCCGGACCCGATGGCTTCAAACTCACACTGGGCATGTGTGCATGCATTCCCCAAATCCTGAGATGAGAATGGAGGAGAAGGAATTGTGGTGTGCCCATCCCCCCTCTAGGGTGGTTACTTGCTTTCTGTCTCTATCTGGCAAGCGCATGCACCCTATAGCAAAGAAAAAAATCTTAAAAATAATAAGAAGAAGAAGAATAGAGGTTTATTTGCCTCATGATTCTGGTGGCTGGAAAGTCCAGAGGCATGAGGCCAGCATCAAGCCTGTGCCACATCACCACATGGCCAGCAGAAGCAGAGAGAGTTGAGCACCTGCAAGGACAGGAAGCAGACTTTTCCACTTTCTCTATTTGTCCCTTCCATGTCCCCAGCTGATTGGATGGTGCCCTTCCATTAGGCCCCTCCTCTCAGTGGTCTCAGCACCTCCCAGCCTATTACACATGGGCTTCCAGGACATGAACTTTTGGGGGACAAACCATCATCCAAACCGTAGCAGTTAAATTGCATTAAAAAGTCTTAGAAGTCTTGTCTAAATAAGATTCTTCTTATAGATAGGTAAAGTGGTTTAAATAATAGGTGGCTGACCTCAAAAATACCTTTCAACTAGCTTGCTTTACAGAATTTGTCAAACTAATAGGAATTTATTGCCAAAATATAAAGTGTTTTGTGTCTATTATAGAGTGTGTCAAATTAAACACTCTCTTACCTTTTAGTTTATAAAACCTACCTCAGGCCAGCAGGTGGTGTGGTGGTTAAAGCGCTAGATTTCACATGACTGACTTTGTGGTTCAAGTCCTGGACTTGGTGGCTTGAAAAACATACTAAGGTACACATGCATGCTCAAAATCCTGAAAGGAGAATGGATGAGAAGGGATGGCAGCATGCCATCCCCCCAGAGAATAATTTCTCACTGTTCTTCTCTCTTTCTATGTCTCTGGTGATTGTACATGGCCTACAGCAAAAAGAAAAAGAAAAAGAAAACCTGCCTCTAATCAGCATTTGGGGATAATAAAAATCAGACCAAGACTTTCTAAGGCACGTTCTCTCTCTGTGTCTCTCTGTCTCTTTCTGGTCAGCACAAATGGCCTCTGGCAATTGAAAAAAAGTGATTTTATCTTAGAACTTGTATTTTGAAAGGAAAGCCCTCCGCCAGCCAGGGGAGGTACTCACAGCATGCGTGTCCCTGGCCCTTGTCCCTCCGTGCCTGTATCCTGTCTGCAGAGCTCTGTGAGCACAGGATTCCCGCAGTCCCACAGCACACGGGCCTCTGGCGAGACTCGGAGCGAGCAGAGAAAAGCACGCTGTACTCCAGCTCTGATGAAGGGAGCATGCCGCCAGCCCCGAGAGCCCCCGTAGTCCATTTCCGGTACAGAAGGAATGGGTGACCACACCCCATTGCGGGTGCTTCTTCCTCTCCAGCTCTCTCTGTCTCTCTGGTGAGAGCATACACCTTCTGGCAAATTACGAAAGAAAAAAATAATAAATTAAAATAAAAAGCAGCTGAGGGGGCACCACCATGCTAGTGTAGGGGTAACAATACTCAACGCTGAGCCCACGTGGGAGGTCCCAGGTTTGCATCCCCAGGGCCCTGTTCACAGCAGTGCGTGCTCTGCGAGGTGAGCCCACATGGGAAGGTTTCGTCTCAAGACCTCCCTGCATATGCCCCTGCTTTGGAGCTCCCTACGTCTGGGGGTAGGTTGCCCTGTGAGACCCTGATTGGGTTGCCTCTCTGTCTCTGTTTCATGGAATAAATAAACAAAGGATCAGCAGATGACGTAATGGTTACATCGCTGGACTGGCAGCTGACTGCTGTGAGAGACCAGGACCGGTAGATTGAAACATGCCCGGTACATGTGCCTGTGTGCCCAAAATCCCGAGAAGAGAATGGAGAAGGGATTGCGGTGTGGTCATCCCCCTGGGGGTAATTTCTTGCTTTCTGTCTCCCAGTTTCTGTCTCTCTGGAGAGCACACGTGCCCTATAGTAAAAACCTCTCTGAAAGAATAATGAAATCAAAATGAAAACAAATAAACAATGACAGCTGAGGCATCTTCATGGTTCTTGCACTCTTCCAGTAAGCCAGGCCACGGGGCCAGTCTCAGAGGTTTTAATGTAAAACTTTATGTGAAAATAAACTTGAGGCTGTCATCTGCCCACTGACAGTCAACTGGAGGAGTGGGGCTCAGGGTTCGGCCGAGATGCCAGGACAGGACAGCAGAGGGTAGAGGCAGAGTCGGCCAGAGGAGCCCCTCATGCCTAGACTCCCAGAAGACCCTGCTGCTGGGCCAGGGCAGCCCCATGCTGGGGCCAGGGTTAGTAGAGCCAGACAGCCTGGCTTGGCTTCAGACTCGGCCCAGCCTCAGGGGTGCAGCACAGCCCCACCTGTGTGGCTCCTGAGTTCGAGGAGCTTTTGTGACTGTGGACAGCTGCTTTCCCTGTGCCTCAAGCTCCTTGCCTGAAAAACAGGGCCCTCCCCTCACTAGGGGCGGCCCAGTTAATGTTACTGCGAGTGGGTGGAAGAATGGCTTCAGTTACTACTGTTACCAAACCAGAAGAAATTCACACCCAGTTCCAGTTTCACACACCGGGAACTTTGGTAAGAGGAAGACTTACTACTACACGGATGGGTAGGGAGGTAAGAAGCTAGAATGAATCTACCTCCCCAAAGTCTTGGACAGGTCCGTACGTAGGAGCTTGTCGTAGAATGGGCAGGTCAGGGACGTTCTGACTGGCCCTTGGGCATGGGCAGGTTGGATTCCAGGTGGGCATGCACGGTGCTGCATGCCCCAGAAAAGGCAGGCTTCACATGACGGCTGGGAGTGGGGTTCTAGGCTTTCACTCTGGGGCACTGCCGAGGTGTGCTGCACGGGCTCAGAACCACCACTCGGATCTCACCGTGCAGCCTCCTGGAACATTCCAGCTCTGCCTCAATACTGGCAACTTGCTTGTGAGTGTGAGTAGGTGGTGTCCCTGTGTTAGTCCGTCACTGTGCTGCTAAACAGAAATACCAGAGACTGGGAGATTTCTGTATAAAGAATAGAGGTTTGGGACCAGCAGATGGCATCATGTTTATGTCGCTGGACTCCCATGAAGTGGACTGTAGTTCCAGTCCCGGACCCGATGGCTTCAAACTCACACTGGGCATGTGTGCATGCATTCCCCAAATCCTGAGATGAGAATGGAGGAGAAGGAATTGTGGTGTGCCCATCCCCCCTCTAGGGTGGTTACTTGCTTTCTGTCTCTATCTGGCAAGCGCATGCACCCTATAGCAAAGAAAAAAATCTTAAAAATAATAAGAAGAAGAAGAATAGAGGTTTATTTGCCTCATGATTCTGGTGGCTGGAAAGTCCAGAGGCATGAGGCCAGCATCAAGCCTGTGCCACATCACCACATGGCCAGCAGAAGCAGAGAGAGTTGAGCACCTGCAAGGACAGGAAGCAGACTTTTCCACTTTCTCTATTTGTCCCTTCCATGTCCCCAGCTGATTGGATGGTGCCCTTCCATT